CAGCTGTTTATCTCAAGTCCTTTTTTAAAAAAATAACTTAAGAGTTAAGACTTCGTATTTTTAAAAGAATTACAAACATGTCTAGACTCATAGAGCCTTTTCGATTTCTCAAAATTAGACTAAGAGCACATTTGATAGCATGAAAATCGGTTGATTTGGATGATTCTGCTGAAATTTATGAAATTCTGGCTGAAGTGGTTGCATTGGCTGATTCCGTTAATTTAAGAAGGAAAAAAATTTAAAACATATTTTATTAATAAAATAAAGAAAAAGTTATATGTAAAATAGCTAAAATGGTCATCTACAGTAACTTCAGCCAATACAGTAACTACAACCTTACTTTGTTCTGCTTATTACACAATTCAGAGAACGAAATTAAAAGTTGTGTGTTTGGTGAAAAAGTTGGTTGATAAGCCGAAAAATCAAACGACCTCTAAATAGCAATTCCTAAAATAGGGGAACGACACAAGATTAATGGACACAGGCAGTCCTAGGCCACATAGGGAGTGTTTGCTGCGGCTTAAAAAAGCGCTTTTCGGAAAACGGTGTTTTCAAATGACAGCTTCTATTTAAATCAATCTCTTAAAAGCTAAAAGCTGGAAGCAAGTGGAAGGATACTTTAAACTGCTTTTCATTTTTTTTATTACACAAAAAACACTTATTTTATCAAACACTACCAACTTTTCAAAATCATTTTTTTACTATTAAGGCTTTGTTTGCAAGTGCTTGTGTTTAAATAAAAGCACTTTTTGGGAAAAACTGATAAGTAGTAAAAGTTGGTAGTGTTTGGTAAAATAAGTGCTTTTTGTGTAATAGAAAAAGTAAAAAATAGATTCTACACGAAAACCGAGAAAGTAAAAGTTTGTAGTGTTCGGTAAAATAAGTATTTTTTTCATTAAAAAAAGTCACAAGCACTTTATTTAAGTGTTTGCAAACAAGCCCTAAGTACTTTTCCAAAGCTTTAAAAAATCACTTTAAAAAATCCGCCCAACGCCACGGATCCCCCAAACGTTTATCGGAAGACATTCAGCTGCTTGCGAATTTCTTCCGACCATAGGAATTCCATCAGGATTGTGTCCTGCCTCTCTTCGTCGTTGCAAACAGAATTCAATTTACAGGGAGCAAGCTCGAACCGCCATTAATGGTGGTCTAACTTTCATGGAGAAAAAATTGAGATTGCGATCCGCTGAAGCTCCAGATCGATTGATGATGAAGCTTCCTTCTTCTATGCAAAGAAGATCGTCCAGTGTCAATCCGGCCAAAGTGGTCGTCGATCGCCATGGGCATGGTCGCACAGTTCGTTTTTATAGAGGAGAGCAATATCACACGGATAAATTCTAAAATCAGATCTAAATAGCCTCCCTACGGTTCTCCAAAAGACGGAAGTTGTAAACATAAATCTATTTTTTGCTGAGTCATCCTTTCTAGCAAGATTTACGGTGTGGACGGTTTCAAATTCCAACTCAGCTCCATGGAAAATGTAGACGGTTCCGTTGGAGAAAGGTTTTTATTTAACTTAATATCTATTCTACCTACGTGACAATTTATTTTTCAACAATTGATAGTCCCATTAAAAATGCTCTGAGAGAGTGTGTATTTTTTCCACTTCCAAGTCAGCACCCAAATAAAAATAGATAGTTTTGTTGGAAATGTTTTTTTATCACAATAGTCATTTTATCTAGGTGGCAATGCATTTTTTATCAATTGAGGATCCCAGTAAAGATGCTCTAACGCCACCCTACTTCTTCTCTTCTTATTATTAATTGACTAGTCATCTAACCCGTGCGTTGCACGGGATGAAAAGTTGATTATTTTAACAATAATTAAATTATTTTTACAAATGCGCGCATAATATTGTAATATGGAATTAAAATTAAAATGTTCTCAAATTTATTCAAGACAAAATGTAATACTACAAATTGGTAAAGACCTCTTTGTATACAAAATTTAATGTGGAGTTTGTCGGTCTACCTTTATCGTCACATATCAAAAACTTCAAACCAGCTGGACTTGTGACTCTTGATACAGCAACGTAAAGCCCATGGCTAAAAACCGGTCGTCGTAAGAATATCCCAACATTTTCCAATGACTGATCCTGACTCTTATTTATAGTCATCGCATAACTAACCATAAGAGGAAATTTCCTGCGTTGAAAGGTGAATGGCAGTTTGACATCAGAAGGAGTCAAGGTAAGACAGGGACTGAAATGCTTTTGGTCGGCAGTTGGCCCTGACAACATTTGGGCCTCAATAACATTTTTTCCAAGTCGGGTCACTAAAAGTCGAGTGCCATTACACAAACCCAATGATTGATCAAGATTCATCATAAGCATCACAGGGGCACCCACTTTTAATTTGAGCTCATGGCTAGGTACTCCGGAACATTTGATTCCATTTAGGTATTCTGGAGAATGGATCTCTTGCAACAAACTACTATCAGAATCAGACAATGATGCAAAATCAGAGCTGAAATATGTCTTCATCTCTGATGGTAGTTGTGCGAGCATGTAATCATTAACCTTATCCACCTCGTCAACTGTTGGCGCAAGTATTGCTCTTGACATTAAATATGACGGCGATGTGCAATGTGTCAAGAAATCGGGATATGTACTCTGGACAATAGAAGTAACTGGATCAGAAATCCAAGGCACGAGGAATTCTTCAGGTATGTGAATATATGATTCTCCATCCTCATTGTCACCTAGAACCCCGTCCCCTATCTTTAAAATCCAATCAATGAACCTTTGTATGTATGCAGAATTAAGATCGTCTGATCTACTCCGCACTCTCATGTTCTTCGTTAGCCTCAGCACCTTGCAAAACGGCCAAAGGAAGGATGAGTTTAAAGTCGCTTGCACAATATATTGCCTGCTACCCTTTGGAATTACCGTAGCATCTGTCTAAAGTCTCCGCCAAAGACAATTGTTTTTGCACCAAAAGGTTTGCTCCCATCACAACCATATGAATGTCGAAGAATATCCCTCATAGTCCGATCAAGAGCTTCATAGCAGTACTTATTAGTCATAGGTGCCTCGTCCCAAATTATCAATTTCGTCATTTGAATTAGCTTCGCAAGGGCACTTCCTAGCTTTATATTGCAAGTTGAATCTTCCGCTGCTGTGAGTGGGATTTTAAACTTGAAAGTTACAATTCATTGTGTTAGTATTTATTTGAAATTACAATTTTTTAAACCTAAAAACCGACCTGGAATGTGCCGTTCTTCCACCAGGAAGGAGCAATGATGCGATCGCACTTGAAGCTACGTTCAACACAATATTTCCTTGATGTCTTATATATGCTGATAAGGTCTTCCACAGATATGTTTTCCCTGTACCACCGTGTCCATATAAGAAGAACACACCGCCATAGTAGGCATCTACAGAACTCACCATTGTCTCGTAAACACGCTTTTGATCCTCTGTCAACGCGGAAATTAATCTATCGTGTTCCTCTGCCAAAGCATGTTTGTCATATCTCAATTCCTCGTGTATCAAAACATCATCAAGAGAGGGGATGTCAAGATCCGTTACTCGAGACATTCCGTCATAGTAGAATAGAGACTTTCCACGATGTTGTAGATATTTCTCAACTTCCAACAAACAATAATTCTTTATTTGCTTCTCATCTAGCTGCAATTCTATAAAAAAATGGTTATTGCAAATTTAATATCAATACATTTAAGAAGTAATTAGATTGTTTTTAATTCTATATGGTTAAACCATTGAATTTGTAGGTATTATAAACAATCAACACATCCGTAAATGTAATGCTGCAGAAACAAAATATTATACCAACTACTATCTAAAAAATAGTTTATTAAATTATATATAGAACTATTTATGAACACTTTTTCAGTGAAGTCCTTAATATTTAAAAATTATTTATGACATAAGAGTAAATTTTACCCCGAGATATGCAATTTATTACAACATAAGGGTCAAATATTTGATATTAGTGAATAATAATCTTTAAATATAATATATATGAAAGGTAATTTTTAATTTCAAAATATCTTGATTACAGTCCATCTACATTACTCTTAATATTATCGTTTGTTAAATATATCTAAATTTAAGGAACGCCATTACATAATAAACATACCTTGTGACACCGCACCCGAACGTACCTGAGAATTTTGGTTTAAAAAAATAAATAAATAAATACAATTCATACAGTTGAATTTCCTATTATCAACTACGTGTAAAACGAGTAAAGCTTTATGTAATGAATGATTAATCGTATTATCGTTTAGGCCCATATCATAAGGATGGGTTTCCAAATACCTTATTGGGCCATCTTATTAGATATAAGACCCCAATACAATGTAAAGAAATGTTCATAACCCTCCTAGACCAAATAAGGAAGGTCGGGCAACCCAAATGTTATTTTGGGCCCAACCGGCTAAAAATAGTAAGTATTCAAGAATGGAGTTCTAGGACCACTCGAGGGTGACCCACACGGCTAGTAGCCCAGCAATATGAATATTGTTGTCATAAATAAGTGATTGGATGATTAGAGAAGAATACAAATGCCTACGGTCCCATCTTTGACATTATGGAACTAAATAATGGGAGTAGGGTTTTTCTTCTATAATATTCATCATGTAAACTATTGGGATGACCCTACACATATTAGAGATCAATAATATGATGTAGAGGGTTGAATTGTTCTAAATAAACTATAATGAGTACAAAAATACATCTTTTGACAAAAGATAAAACAATAGAACTCATTATTCCACTTTTGGAAGTATTAAGAGATATTTTGATCCCAAATCAATTGGGACCACTTGGGAAGGATCCCATACAACTTGAAGACCTGTAAACAAAGGAAAATGTTCAGTTATCACACATTTGGGCGGACAAACTTGTGGAAGAGAATCAAACACCACACATGAGACAAAACTATGGCCCATACATGTGTGGTTGTAATGTTTTGATGAATTTAACCCTCCATCCTATTATCTCGACCCTTACAGCTCATTTCACTCTTTAGGAAGGCCTGGTAGGTTGTCCTTTAGGTGGAGGAAGAGACACATAAGGTATGGGGGGCTGCACATAGAGAAAATGGCAAAAGGGAACCTATTTCGTACTATGTTCGCACAACTCGCGAGGGTTTTTTGTCTCTCCCACTATTTGAGCTACACTCATCCATTTTGAGTGGTTGAGGTGTCCATGGATAGCTCTTGAAGAGTACTTTCACCATAGCTTCGTTTCTGGAGAAGAAAGAGTCGTTATACAGACCGAGAGAGTGGCAAAGTAAACTGTTGTCCGCTAAGCCGCACAGTGGGAGCGTTGGTTTTGTTCACCTCATATCTTGAGAACCACTTATTCAAATCGGGTGTTTGAGGTGTCTTTGGAAAGGTATTGAATAGAGCTTTCATAAAAGGTGCTATTCTTGAGAATTGGAGGAGTTTACAGCCCAAAAAGGACGGATATACATCGAGGTGAGAATCTGAATTCCGAAACTGTGTATTGATTCTAGTGATTGTTACTCCTATTTCTTGAGCTCCTGTCAACCAAATCGAACGTGTAATATGTCAATGGAAACCTCTAAAAACGTAGTTTCTGTAAAGGTGCAGCTTGGTAAGAGAATATACGAGGAAGGTTTCCAAATCAACGAAGACAGACCCAAACGTGCAAAACAGTTTTTTTCTCCTTAAGGTAAGTTTGAACCTTAAAGCTTCCATTTCATGGTCTAAATCACATGAAAGAATAGGAAGGATATTATACACGACTATTAGTATGGAAAATGTTCTTGAGTATCTTATTTCATGGTCTTGAAGGTTAGATAGTAACCTTTGATGAACCTTGAAAAGCTATGGATTGTACTCACCCAAAAACACCTCTTTAAGGGGGCTGTTTTCATAACTTTTGATAGGAAACGAACCTACACTTGGAAGAGGCTGTATAGAATCCTATTTCAAGCAAGGAACCAATATTCAATCACCTTTGGCCAGTGGCTTGGTGGCTGGATTGATAGAGGGCAGTTTGGAGCTTAATCGAGGTGAGGACCGACATCTAGTTGCTTACAACTTGTAGGTTATGCATGAGATTACCTAAATGCTTAAATCATGTTTTTGTGAATAAATATGTTTGAACATGATATGAATGATAAGTAATGGAGTTGACCATGAATTGAAAACATATTGATGAATATGGAGTCATATGAGGTAGAAACATGCTAATATGTTAAATAGATTTTTCTAACTCTTGTATGAATGTTATGTGCATGTAAATGTATAGTTGCATGATGATGCTTAGCACATGGGAGGCTGCCACATATCTATTGATATGGAGGGGCTACCATTAAGAGTAAATGAGTTGTAGGAATAATCTTAATAGTATTGTGATGCTAGTTAAGGATTGTTCGAAATATCGATAGAATCAAACTTAAAGGTTTGGGTTTGTTTGTGATGAACTTGAATAAGATTCAAGTGTCAATTGTGAATTCATGGAGTAGGAGATCTATGGTGTGATTTTATGAAGTAGGAGATCTATGGTGTGATTATATGAAGTAGGAGATCTATGGGGTGAATACATGAAGTAGGAGATCTATGATATAATTGTATGAAGTAGGAAATCTATGATGCGGGTGCATGATGATGTACTCGAGCCGAACTCTAGAGAGGAGAAGTTATATTAGGGTTGGACCCTATGTATTGTCGTGACTATTAGTCACGGGGTTTGGGAAATGTTTTGTAACAAACATGGGCCTTTGAGCCGACTACTTGACTTTATATAAAGTAAGTATATATTTTGAAAGGGGTAATTTGGGATTACGGCCTATACTATATTATCACCCTATTTGAGGGTCTTGTGTGTGAAATACTTGTTGTATATCTATTAGATGCTTGCCACACCAGTACTTTATAGCCGTATAGAGTATTGACCCCTTCTGGGGCGTCCCACCACCATTTCAGGTTGAAGCTCGAGCTCGTTACCTGTGCCCGTTGCTCGGGTGATCCTTTGGAGAGAAGACGTGGTTCGTGCTTTCCCCATTCTGTTTTGAACAATATTAAACATGCTCGTGGATATTTTACTATAGAGCCTGTGTGCTCATGAATAGCCCTGTGTGGCCCGTTTTGTTTTAAACAATGTTTTTTGCTGCGTTATGAATTACTTATTATGTTTGTTTATGGATGTTATGTGTGTGAATGATATTCAAGACGCCTTGTACAATATGAATGTGTTGGACTGTGGTTGACTATTCGTATTGTACGGCGGGTTGTTGACGTGTCCGGGGAGGTCCGGGGCGTGACAATTAAGTTGGTATCAGAGCCTTAGTCCATAAACTTCATAATGAAGTCTCGAATTTTCTTTTTCAAAATGATTTTGAAAACCATGAGCATAGAAAATGTTTTGTACTTGAGAACTTTTGGTGTTTGAGTTGCAAGGTCTCTAATTGTTAAGATGGCGCCCTTAACGATTGGTATGGCGGTGACTTGGCCCAAGAGATGTCTTAAGTGCCTATCTGTCAGTTGACATTTGAAACGAGTCTAATGACTCATTCTAATTATTTCTTTCAGCGATGGAGGTTGATGGTGGTATTATGAATAGGGAGAACTCGGAAGGGTTTGCACCGGGTGGAACCGGGCATGCCAACCGAGAAAAGCCCTTAGGACCAAAGGTGCACGAAATTCTTGAAGCTCAAATCGTGAGTGGTGGTCATGTTAAGACCAAGGAAGAATCACCTTGTCATGGCAAAACTGAACCACTCAAGGCTTCGGGTGACGAAGGAGATGATTTGAGTGATGAGGATCTTGATGGTGCACCCAATGAACAAATGGGCATGGTCATAGATTGGCTTCAACGTGAACGTGTGAGGCTTATACAAAAACGCCAAGCTAGGCGAGCTGAGGGCATACCATTAGTAAGGAAAAGGAAGCGGGGAGACAACGATTCCCAAAGACATTCAAGGAGGACAAATGTTGAGGGTGACAAAACCTTCAGGGCGCAGACACTATCACTTGAGTGGAGTCGAGGCTCGGGTGGCCAGAACTCGAGGTCAAAAGGTCTGAGGGTACCTAAGTGCAACAATTGCAAGAAACACCACTCGGGTAAGTGTCAGGACCCTCCCAGGTGCTATCAATGCACAGAGGTCGGGCACACGAGAGTGAGCTGCCCACAAATTGTGCAAAACCAAACTTCGGGGTCAAGTGGTGGAACTACGAGAAATGAAAACCAAACCGAGGTTTCTCAAGGGAGCAGGGGACATGGGGGAGCAAGCACGAGCAACGCGCCATCCGTGAACCAAGGAAGGACCCAAGCTAGGGTCTATGCGATGACGGAGGCGGATGCTCAAGCTAACCCGGACTCCGTTGCAGGTATTACCTCTTGTATACTTGTGTTTTATCCTTAATTAGTCCATAAATTGATGTTACAAATCGTTGGGATCTTTGCACGAAGCTTTGGGGTCGAACCGGGAGGATTTCGGGCAATTTCGGGCTGTTTTTGCCCAGGCACGATCGTGCCTAAGGGCACACACGATCGTGCCTACATGGCAGTATCTCCCTAGGCTTTTTCCAAGCCAGGCACGATCGTGCCTACCCCCAGGCACGCCGTGCCTGGCACCCAGATTGCCGAAAACCGATTTTTCGCACCGTTTTGCAACGTTAAGACCTTTTCTTGATCCCTAACGTGTGTGTGAACATTGTAACCCTCTATAAATGAGTAGGGAGGGTAGGAAAGATGTCTTACATGGTTCATGAATGTAGGGACACTAAAGATTAATGGGAAGGATGCGCGAATCCTTATCGATACCGGGACGCAACGTTCATTTGTGAGTGAAGCGTTCGCCAAGAAATTGGAAGTGCAATCCGCACCGTTGATTCAAACCTTAGTGGTATCAACACCACTGGGGGATGACGTGGAAAGAACTTGTTACTATCCATCTTGTGAGGTGGAAGTTAATGGTCAAACCTTGACGTGTGACTTCGTACCTCTGAGCATGATTGAATTTGATGCAATCCTAGGGATGGATTGGCTAGAAAGGAACCATGCTAGGGTAGATTGCTACACGAAGGTTCTTGAACTCGAAGGCAATGATGGGGAGACCCTACGCTTCGAGGGTGATCGAGGGAGATCAAACAGCTGTATCATATCCGCCGTGAGAGCGAGAAGTATGATGAGAAAGGGATGCCACACATATCTAGCATACGTGGTTGACAAAACCAAGGAGGAAACGAACATCGACGATGTGAGGGTGGTTTGTAAGTACCCGGATGTTTTCCCTAAAGACCTACCAGGGCTTCCACCTGATAGGGAGATTGAATTTGTGATCGAGGTCGAACCCGGTACCAAACCAATCTCTATACCGCCATATCGGATGGCACCTGCTGAACTTAATGAATTGAAAACCCAATTGCAAGAACTATTGGATAACGGATTCATTAGACCGAGCCATTCACCGTGGGGAGCACCAGTCCTTTTTGTGAAAAAGAAAGATGGTACCCTACGAATGTGCATCGACTACCGACAGTTGAACAAGGCTACCATCAAGAATATGTATCATCTGCCTAGGATTGATGAATTGTTTGACCAACTCCGTGGAGCTACAGTATTCTCAAAGATTGACTTGAGGTCAGGATATCACCAACTAAGATCAAGGAAAGTGACATACCGAAAAGTGCTTTCCGCACGAGGTATGGACACTTTGAGTTCTTGGTTATGTCGTTGGGCTAACTAACGCCCCAGCGGCGTTCATGGACTTGATGAACCTAGTATTTCATAAATACTGGGACCAATGTGTGATCGTGTTCATAGATGACATCTTGATTTACTCAAGGAGTGAAGAAGAACATGAGCGGCACTTGGTTCTGGTTCTTGAAACACTACGCGAGAAGCAACTTTACGCCAAGTTCTCTAAGTGCGAGTTTTGGCTTAAAGAGATTGGCTTTCTTGGGCATGTAGTTTCTGAGTCAGGCATTGCCGTGGATAACAAGAAGATCGAGGCTATCACAGAATGGGAAAGGCCTAAGAACACGAAAAAGATTCGCAGCTTCTTTAGGCTAGCGGGATACTATAGAAAATTCGTGGAGAAGTCCTCAATTTTGGCGTCGCCATTGACGAAGGTCACTCAAAAAGGGGCTAAGTTTGTATGGGATGATCGATGCGAGAAGGGGTTCTTGGAACTGAAGAAGAGGTTTACTGAGGCACCAGTACTTGCATTACCCGAACAGGGTATGGGGTATGATGTCTATAGTGGTGCGAGCATCCAGGGGCTTGGATGTGTGTTGATGCAGATGGGGAGGGTAATTGTCTATGCTTCACGACAGTTGAAGAAACATGAGGTAAATTATCCTACTCATGATCTAAGGTTGGGAGCAGTGGTTTTTGTATTGAAGATATGGAGACACTATCTCTACGGGGAGACATGTCACATATACACTGACCATAAGAGTTTGAAGTACGTGTTTACTCAGAAAGAGTTAAACATGGGATAGAGACGGTGGATGGAGTTGATAAAGGACTACCATCTAGTTATTGAGTACCATACAAGTAAGGCAAACGTTGTAGCGGATGCCCTCAGTCGAAAGAGTTCGTCTGGGGCATTGCTGACTAGTTTGAGGGCATTGAGAGCCCAATTGGAGGTATCTACCAATGGTTCATTATTGGCACGATTCGAGTTGAGACCGACCTTACTTGATGAGATCAAGAAGGGTCAAGAAACTGACGAAGAACTTATGAAGGTCCGGGAACGCATGCAAGCGGGACCAGTGGAGGATTTCAGGGAGAGAGATGATGGTCTCTTGTTATTTCATGACCGAGTGTGTGTACCGCCAGATGATGAGCTCCGAAAGTCCATCTTAGAGGAGGCTCATTCATCGGCTTATGCCATGCACACGGGGGGCACGAAAATGTACCGTGATTTGAAAGAAAGTTACTGGTGGTCTGGTATGAAGAGGAAAATAGCCGAATACATCAGTCGATGCCTTACTTGTCAACAAGTTAAGGCAGGACATCAGCATCCAGCAGGCGTATTGCTGAATGGAAGTGGGAACACGTGACTATGGATTTTGTGGTAGGCTTACCACGACCAATCAGGAACTATGTTGCAGTTTGGGTGGTTGTAGATAGGCTCACGAAGAGTGTGACACCGCACCCGATTGTACTTGAAATTTAAAGACGATATGTATTTGATTTTCCTAGCGAATAAAATTCGTGTAATTGATCGGTGTATTTAATTAATGCATGATTAATTAAATTATATAACGGGTCCATTATATGAGAATGGGCTACCAAATATTTAGTTGGGTTATCATAATAATTATAGGAGCCCAATAAAATGCCAACCGAAGTTGATAAAAAATATTTGGACAACCCGACTACCCGAGTGCTATTTTGGCCGAACCTACCGAAAATAGCAGGAATAATTGGGAGGAACTTTCTATACCCAATGGGGATTTTTCCTACAAGACTTGTTGACTCAAAATAATCATTTTGAGACAAGTAAACATGGGGTGGGCGAAATGGCTGTTGAGGAGATTGCCCAAGACATAAAATATATTCATAGGTCCCTACTCATGCATTATTTTGGATGCTTGATTGAATAGAGGTACCTCCCTCTATCCTTTGCACCCATTCTCGTCCAACCAAGAGGAGGATCTCCAGAGAAGTCTTCTCTCAAGAACCAATAGCTTGAAGAAGCACAAGGAAGAAGGAACCCAAGAGAAAAGAGCTAAGTTGAGGTAAGGATCCAACTAGTATGAATTAACTAGTGTTATTAGTGTATGATTTCTAGGAAATCATATGGTGGATTAAACCACGAGTTATACACGTTTAAAAGTGTGTAATAGGGTTATATAGTGGTGGTATTTAACTTAGAAGAGTCGTGTAATCGATAGGAGTTGATACCGCCGGAAACCGCCACTCCAAAGGAGTTGTTCGTAGTTGCAGACTACGAAAGCCGCCCGGCTTTGGTGAAAGACGCCCGGCTTTTGGGCTACTGTCCAGGAATTTCACTTTCAATCGGCCTAGAACGGGGATTGATCGAGGGGCTTAGCAAAGGCAACTATTGTAGCACATCACAAGGTGAGGATGGCTGACTATATTGCTTATAATCTTTGGGTTAATTTCATAAGATTACCTAAAGTAATTAAATGTGATTTTTCATGGATTATTAATGGTTAAAAATGCCTAAATGAAAATATCATTGTTTGTGAATAGAAGATGCATAACATACAAATTTATGAGAAAATTGTGTATGATGATGCATAATAAATGTGAAGGTATAATGATGGTATAAACCATGAATTTTTGTGATAAAATATACTTTTACTTCATGTATAGAAATCATGAATGGATAAAAGTGATATTTTTGATATTGAGATTAAATCGTATACGGATTTGAAAATCCATAGGAATGAGCCTTATAACTATGAGTTAAGGAGCTTGGCTGTTTAAAGATTTATGGATTAGTATTTAATTTACTAATCGGGAATGTTGTATAAAAAGTGTTAGAACAAATCCTAAGGACTTGGATTGTGAAGGATGCACCTTAAGTAGTCTTATGAGATGCCTTAAGGTAGGAATAGGTAACCATTAAGTTACATTAGGAGTAGGCCTCATTGGCTACTCAAGATTGAGGAACTCTAGGCATAGAATTTGCTAGTGAGTTAGTATCGTGACTAGAGAAAGCCTCTAGCACGATTAAGAATGACTGGAGGAAGCCTCCAGCATTCGCGTAGGACGACTAGAGGAAGCCTCTAGCGTAGTGTAGGATGACTAGAGGAAGCCTCTAGCATAATGTAATGTGACTGGAGGAAGTCTCCAGCACAAAGTATGTAAGGTGATTAGAGGAAGCCTCTAACACCGAATTTAGTGACTAGAGTAAGCCTCTAGCACGGCAAAACATGACTAGAGGAAGCCTCTAGCATGGTGAATTAATATAGATGGGCGTGGCTTGAAGTCACGGGGAAAGGGTTGAACGTTTTCAAAGTAAAACATGGGTCTTCGGGCCGACTACTTGACTTTATATATAAAGTAAGTATATTTTCAAAGAGGGTAACCACGGGTTATGACCTATATTATATTATCACCCTATGTGAGGGTCTTGGAAATTGAAACTTTGATTATACTTAGTATAGTTGTCATTGTACTTGTCAAATGCTTCCAAGTACTGACCTCCCCTTCACGGGGGAGGCCACCTCACAGTTTCAGGTAGGGGATAAAGCTCGCTACCTTTGCCGTTGCTTGGGAAGCTCGAAGGAGAGAAGACGTGGTTCGTGCTTCCTCCGTATCTATTTTAAAAACATTTAAATAAATGCTCATGGATATTATTTTTGAATGATTATTTGAGGGCTTGTATGCCCATGTTCGCCAAAGTGTGGCATAAACACTTTATTAAATGTTTCCGCTGCTTTAATTAATTATTTTACATTATGATTGTTTATGGATGTACTATTGTGAATGGTATTCAAGACGCCTTGTATGGTATGGATGAGTTGGACTGCGGTTGACTATTCGTACTGTACGGCGGGTTGTTGACGTGTCCGGTAGGTCCGGGGCGTGACAATTTAATTGGTATCAGAGACTTAGTCCGTAAACTTCATAATGAAGCTTCAAAATTCTTTTTGAAAATGATTTTGGAAACTATGAGCATAAAGTTTTGTACTTATAGAACTTTTGGTACTTGAGTTGCAAGGTCTCTAATTGTTAAGATGGTACCCTTAACAATTGGCATGGCGGCGATTTGAGCCAAGGGATGTCTTTAAGTGCCTATCCGTCATTTGACATTTGATACGGGTCTAATGACTCAATCTCTATCTCTTTCAGAAATGGAACGTACCGGTAAAGTCACTCGAAGAAACCCGACTGGCCAGGCACCGGGAGGATCCCAACATGGCAGTCGAGGGGCATCGAGGGCGTCTCGTGGGCAGGGCCGTGCAGGTCACTCATTGACGGTGAGTGACGGCCATGTTGAGACTATTGATGAGCAATACGATTCCGAGGAGGATTCGACGTATCAACCGGGAACCGAGCCGGTTGAGACCCCATATGATGGGGAATATGATGATGATGAGAGCGACGATGATGACGCTCTAGAAAGGATGGAGGAGCTACTCCGTCAATACCAACAGGATCGCCAAAGGCGCCGGGCAAGGCGTGCTTTGGGAGGGACTTCCAGGGGAGGAAGTCGTGTGGGTTCTAGGGGACATGTAGAGTCCCGGAATGATCGAGGTGCCGAGGTCCCGATGATAAGGATCTCAAAGTACCTAAAGGAGGCGAGAGACTTGGGATGTAAACCGTTTGATGGAACGGGAGACATTTCCTTTGCAGCCGAGTGGATCAAGCGATTCAACGAAGCGGCTCTTGACATGGAGCTGCCCCCGATCATGAAATTGAGAGTGGCAACAAGGTTGCTGGAGGGAATGGCGTCCACATGGTGGGACGGCGTCAAGGGGAAGTATGGTGACACGGTCACTTGGGAGAACTTCCGTCAAGAATTCTTCAATCAATACTACTCCGATTTCGAGGTGAACTTGAAAAGGAGAGAATACACCGACTTGACCCAAGGAGGCAAGTACACGGTGAGGCAACTTGAGCACAAATTCCGGGAGCTTGCCGAGTTCATACCGGAATATGCATGTGATGAGAACCGGATGGTGAACCACTTCTGGGATGCCTTGGACCTTGATATACGTGAGAGGGCAACACAATTGCCTAATATGACGTTTAGCCAAGTCGTCGAGCAGGGCTTGAAGGGGGAGAAAGAATGGGAAGAAAGGAAGCGGAGGAATGCCGAGGAGGCAAAGAAAAGAAAGTGGGAGAATCAAGGCCCCCAAGGTTCCAACAAGAAGGGGAACCACGGGGGAGGGAGCTCTTTTAGAACCCCTGCACCGCCTCGAGAGGAAACCCGGGAATGAGTGGACAACACTCGGGATCACAAGCCTCAACAGCGCCCAAATGCAAGAATTGCAAGAGAAACCACGTGGGCAAGTGTCGTGATCCCCCGAGGTGCTATCAATGTGGTGACACGGGGCATATGAGGTCGAGTTGCCCACAACTTGGGCGAGCCGTGAGTGCCGGGCCGAGTGGTGGGACCACGATGAGCAGGAACCGGACAGCGGCACCTCACGCAAACACGGGGCACGGTGGAGCTAGCACAAGTAATGCACCGTCCGTGAATCAAGGGAGGACCCAAGCGAGGGTCTATGCGATTACGGAAGCCGATGCACGTGCTAACCCGGACTCCGTCGCGGGTAAATTCTTGAACTTTTGATGTTATTTCCTTGTAAACAATATAAATGTTGAAATGTATAAGTTATATGGCCAACCCAGCCTGTTTAAAGTTCAAAGAAGTGGACAGATATCTGCCTGGGGCGAAAGCCGCCCGGCTTTGACGAACGTCGCCCGACGTTTGTCTATGATTTATTACATAAATCCTACGGCGACCATAAGCCGCCCGACGTTGACGAAAGCCGCCCGGCTTTCGTAAAGGATTTTTGTTAAAATCATTCGGCGGAGAAAAACCGGCCGAGTTTTGTAAAAACCGGCCGGCTTGTGTTCAGGCGTCTCCGGGAAGAGGCGTTGCCAATGAAAACCGGCCGGCATTCGTAAGAACCGGCCGGCTTTTGTAAATAAAGAAACTGAAATTCCTACGGCGACGAACGTCGCCCGACGTTCGTAACTCCCGGCCGGCGGTCGTTAGGGACAAGAAAATACGTCGTGACCGAAACCCGGCCGGTTTCGGCGAAACCCGGGCGGGTTTGAGGTGGAAATTTATTAAATAAATGTTCGGCGACCGAAAACCGGCCGGCTTTGGCAAAGACCGGCCGGCTTACGTAACCAGTTATTTCGAGCCGAAGGCCAAGGTACGAAAACCGGCCGGCTTTCATGAAAAGCGGCCGGCTTTCCCTTATTGGTGCATGGTGTTGATTTTTTGGGTGGGAACCGGGATGGAATCGGGATGGGGCGTTAGATGACGATCATCCAAACCATAGCCGGGGTACTCTTTTACCTAAGAAATGAGTCTAATAAGTGGGGAGTGTGTCTTACATTGCTTATGAATGTAGGAACACTAAAGATTAACGGGAGAGACGCAAGAATCCTCATTGACACCGGGGCGCAACGATCATTCGTGAGTGAGGCGTTTGCCGGGGGATTCAAAGAACCACTTGTACCGATGGCTCAAGCCCTATTGGTATCCACACCTCTAGGGGAAGACATCGAGAGAGATAGCCACTATCCATCGTGTGAGGTGGAAGTGGAGGGCCAAAACTTGACGTGTGATTTCGTACCGCTGAGTATGATTGAATTCGATGCGATCCTGGGGATGGATTGGCTTGAGAAACATCATGCTAGGGTCGATTGCTACACAAAGATACTTGAACTCGAAGGCGATGAAGGGGTAACCTTACGCTTCGAGGGGGATCGGGCCAAATCCAATAGTTGTATCATATCCGCCGTAAGAGCTAGGAGTATGATGAGAAAGGGTTGCCACGCATATCTAGCATACGTGGTAGACAAAACAAAGGAAGAGACGAGCATTGATGATGTGAGGGTGGTATGCAAGTATCCGGATGTCTTTCCAAAGGACTTACCGGGACTTCCACCTGATAGGGAGATTGAATTTGTGATCGAGGTCGAGCCCGGCACCAAACCAATCTCCATACCGCCATACCGAATGGCACCCGCAGAACTTAACGAGCTGAAAACCCAATTGCAAGAGCTTTTGGATAACGGTTTCATTAGACCAAGCCACTCCCCGTGGGGAGCACCGGTTCTTTTCGTGAAAAAGAAAGATGGGACACTTCGAATGTGCATTGACTATCGTCAACTGAACAAGGTCACAATCAAGAATAGGTATCCTTTGCCTAGGATTGATGACTTGTTTGACCAATTACGAGGAGCAACTGTGTTCTCGAAGATTGACTTGAGGTCGGGGTACCATCAATTGAAGATCAAAGAGGATGACATACCGAAGAGTGCTTTCCGCACTAGGTATGGACATTTTGAGTTCCTTGTTATGTCGTTTGGGTTAACAAACGCCCCGGCGGCATTCATGGACTTGATGAACCGAGTATTCCACAAATACTTGGACCGATTCGTGATAGTGTTCATAGATGACATCTTGATCTACTCAAAAAGTGAGGAAGAGCATGAGGAGCACTTGATACTCGTTCTTGAGACGCTACGGGAGAAGCAACTCTATGCCAAGTTTTCTAAATGTGAATTTTGGCTAAAGGAGATTGGCTTTCTCGGGCATGTGGTTTCGGGATCGGGAATTGCGGTGGATTACAAGAAGATAGAAGCCATTACCGAATGGGAGAGGCCAAAGAATGTCAAGGAAATTCGTAGTTTCCTTGGATTGGCAGGCTACTACAGAAAGTTCGTGGAGAAGTTCTCCGTTTTGGCATCGCCATTGACGAAGCTCACTCGAAAAGGAGCTAAGTTTGCATGGGATGACAAATGTGAGAAGGGATTCACGGAATTAAAGAAGAGATTGACCGAGGCACCGGTACTTGCCTTACCCAAGCAGGGTATGGGGTACGATGTCTATAGTGATGCTAGCATCCAAGGGTTTGGATGTGTGTTGATGCAAATGGGGAGGGTAATTGCCTATGCTTCACGACAGTTGAAGAAGCATGAGGTAAATTATCCTACTCATGATTTAGAGCTCGGGGCAGTGGTGTTTGCACTCAAGATATGGAGACATTATCTCTACGGGGAGACATGCCACATATACACTGACCACAAGAGCTTGAAGTACGTGTTTACTCAGAAAGAGTTAAACATGAGGCAGAGACGGTGGATGGAGTTGATAAAAGACTACCACCTGGTGATTGAGTACCATCCAGGCAAGGCCAATGTGGTGGCAGATGCCTTGAGCCGGAAGAGCTCATCTGGGGCATTGATAGCAAATTTGAGGGCATTAAGAGCCCAACTGGAGGTATCTAGCAATGGTGCCTTGTTGGCACGGTTTGAGGTGAGACCTACTTTGCTTGATGAGATCAAGAAGGGTCAGGAAACTGACGAAGAAATTATGAAGATCCGGGAGCGCATGCAAGCGGGACCGGTGGAGGACTTCAGGGAAAGAGATGACGGTCTCTTACTATTTCGTGACCGAGTGTGTGTACCGGCAGATGATGAGCTCCGAAAGTCCATCTTAGAGGAAGCTCATTCATCGGCCTATGCCATGCACCCAGGGGGCACGAAGATGTACCGTGACTTGAAAGAGAGTTACTGGTGGTCAGGCATGAAAAGGGAAATAGCTGAGTACATCAGTCGATGCCTTACTTGTCAGCAGGTGAAGGCGGAACATCAGCATCCAGCTGGGTTACTACAGCCGCTTTCCATTCCAGAATGGAAATGGGAGCACGTGACTATGGATTTTGTGGTAGGGCTACCACGAACTGTGAGGAACTATGATGCCGTATGGGTTGTGGTTGATAGGCTCACGAAGAGTGCACATTTTCTACCTATCAACACTACCTATGCGCTTGAGAGGTTAGCCAAATTGTATGTGGATGAGATCGTGAGGTTACATGGGGTTCCTATCACCATTGTATCCGACAGGGATCCACGATTCACGTCACGATTTTGGCCGAAGTTTCAAGAGTCCATGGGAACGAAGTTGAAGTTCAGCACTGCTTTTCATCCCCAGACAGATGGGCAATCCGAGAGGGTTATACAGATTTTGGAGGATATGTTGAGAGCTTGTGCATTGGAGTTCCAAGGAAGTTGGGACAACCATTTAGCACTTGTTGAGTTTGCCTATAACAACAGTTATCAGGCAAGTATCGGCATGCCTCCATACGAAGCATTGTATGGGAGGAAATGTCGTACACCGTTGTGTTGGGATGAGGTTGGCATGGCCAAGCTCGAGAGCACGGAATTGGTGGAAATCACTAAATCAAAAGTGAAGATGATTCGAGAGAGACTTAAGGCGGCCCAGGATAGACAGAAGTGCTATGCCGATAAGCGCCGGAGAGCCTTGGAATTTCAGGTGGGAGATGAGGTATTCTTGAAAGTTTCGCCTTGGAAAGGAATCATCCGGTTCCAAAGCCGAGGGAAACTTAACCCACGCTACATAGGGCCATTTGTGATTCTTGAAAGAATTGGGGCCGTAGCATACCGACTACAGTTGACTCCAGAATTGGAGAAGATACATAACGTGTTCCACGTGTCTATGCTAAAGAAATATGTACCGGACCCGTCTCACGTGTTGGAGAAACCACCCGTGGAGATACGGGAGGACTTGAACTATGCCGTACGACCGGTGAGAATACTTGATAGGCAAGTAAAGAAACTAAGGAGCAAGAAAGTTCCAATGGTTAAGATCCTTTGGAAAAGTGACCGGGTTGAAGAAGAAACTTGGGAGACGGAAGCCTTAATGAAGGAACAGTATGCATGCCTGTTTGAATGAGCATTAGCGAATTTCGGGGACGAAATTCCCGTTAAGGGGGGGTGAACTTGTGACACCGCACCCGATTGTACTTGAAATTTAAAGACGATATGTATTTGATTTTCCTAGCGAATAAAATTCGTGTAATTGATCGGTGTATTTAATTAATGCATGATTAATTAAATTATATAACGGGTCCATTATATGAGAATGGGCTACCAAATATTTAGTTGGGTTATCATAATAATTATAGGAGCCCAATAAAATGCCAACCGAAGTTGATAAAAAATATTTGGACAACCCGACTACCCGAGTGCTATTTTGGCCGAACCTACCGAAAATAGCAGGAATAATTGGGAGGAACTTTCTATACCCAATGGGGATTTTTCCTACAAGACTTGTTGACTCAAAATAATCATTTTGAGACAAGTAAACATGGGGTGGGCGAAATGGCTGTTGAGGAGATTGCCCAAGACATAAAATATATTCATAGGTCCCTACTCATGCATTATTTTGGATGCTTGATTGAATAGAGGTACCTCCCTCTATCCTTTGCACCCATTCTCGTCCAACCAAGAGGAGGATCTCCAGAGAAGTCTTCTCTCAAGAACCAATAGCTTGAAGAAGCACAAGGAAGAAGGAACCCAAGAGAAAAGAGCTAAGTTGAGGTAAGGATCCAACTAGTATGAATTAACTAGTGTTATTAGTGTATGATTTCTAGGAAATCATATGGTGGATTAAACCACGAGTTATACACGTTTAAAAGTGTGTAATAGGGTTATATAGTGGTGGTATTTAACTTAGAAGAGTCGTGTAATCGATAGGAGTTGATACCGCCGGAAACCGCCACTCCAAAGGAGTTGTTCGTAGTTGCAGACTACGAAAGCCGCCCGGCTTTGGTGAAAGACGCCCGGCTTTTGGGCTACTGTCCAGGAATTTCACTTTCAATCGGCCTAGAACGGGGATTGATCGAGGGGCTTAGCAAAGGCAACTATTGTAGCACATCACAAGGTGAGGATGGCTGACTATATTGCTTATAATCTTTGGGTTAATTTCATAAGATTACCTAAAGTAATTAAATGTGATTTTTCATGGATTATTAATGGTTAAAAATGCCTAAATGAAAATATCATTGTTTGTGAATAGAAGATGCATAACATACAAATTTATGAGAAAATTGTGTATGATGATGCATAATAAATGTGAAGGTATAATGATGGTATAAACCATGAATTTTTGTGATAAAATATACTTTTACTTCATGTATAGAAATCATGAATGGATAAAAGTGATATTTTTGATATTGAGATTAAATCGTATACGGATTTGAAAATCCATAGGAATGAGCCTTATAACTATGAGTTAAGGAGCTTGGCTGTTTAAAGATTTATGGATTAGTATTTAATTTACTAATCGGGAATGTTGTATAAAAAGTGTTAGAACAAATCCTAAGGACTTGGATTGTGAAGGATGCACCTTAAGTAGTCTTATGAGATGCCTTAAGGTAGGAATAGGTAACCATTAAGTTACATTAGGAGTAGGCCTCATTGGCTACTCAAGATTGAGGAACTCTAGGCATAGAATTTGCTAGTGAGTTAGTATCGTGACTAGAGAAAGCCTCTAGCACGATTAAGAATGACTGGAGGAAGCCTCCAGCATTCGCGTAGGACGACTAGAGGAAGCCTCTAGCGTAGTGTAGGATGACTAGAGGAAGCCTCTAGCATAATGTAATGTGACTGGAGGAAGCCTCCAGCACAAAGTATGTAAGGTGATTAGAGGAAGCCTCTAACACCGAATTTAGTGACTAGAGTAAGCCTCTAGCACGGCAAAACATGACTAGAGGAAGCCTCTAGCATGGTGAATTAATATAGATGGGCGTGGCTTGAAGTCACGGGGAAAGGGTTGAACGTTTTCAAAGTAAAACATGGGTCTTCGGGCCGACTACTTGACTTTATATATAAAGTAAGTATATTTTCAAAGAGGGTAACCACGGGTTATGACCTATATTATATTATCACCCTATGTGAGGGTCTTGGAAATTGAAACTTTGATTATACTTAGTATAGTTGTCATTGTACTTGTCAAATGCTTCCAAGTACTGACCTCCCCTTCACGGGGGAGGCCACCTCACAGTTTCAGGTAGGGGATAAAGCTCGCTACCTTTGCCGTTGCTTGGGAAGCTCGAAGGAGAGAAGACGTGGTTCGTGCTTCCTCCGTATCTATTTTAAAAACATTTAAATAAATGCTCATGGATATTATTTTTGAATGATTATTTGAGGGCTTGTATGCCCATGTTCGCCAAAGTGTGGCATAAACACTTTATTAAATGTTTCCGCTGCTTTAATTAATTATTTTACATTATGATTGTTTATGGATGTACTATTGTGAATGGTATTCAAGACGCCTTGTATGGTATGGATGAGTTGGACTGCGGTTGACTATTCGTACTGTACGGCGGGTTGTTGACGTGTCCGGTAGGTCCGGGGCGTGACAAAGAGTGCACATTTCTTACCTATCAACACTACCTACCCACTTTAGAGGTTAGCCAAATTGTATACGGATGAGATCGTGAGGCTACATGGGGTTCCAGTGACCATAGTATCCGATAGAGACCCACGATTCACATCACGTTTTTGGTCAAAATTTCAGAAGTCTATGGGGACGAGGTTGAAGTTCAGTACTGCTTTCCTTCCACAGACAGATGGGCAGTCTGAGAGAGTCATATATACAAATCTTAGAAGATATGTTGAGGGCTTGTGCATTGGAGTTCCAAGGAAGTTGGGACAACCACTTAGCACTTGTGGAGTTTGCCTATAACAACAGTTATCAGGCAAGCATCGGTATGCCTCCATGCGAGGGATTGTATGAGAGGAGGTATCATACACTGTTATGCTGGGATGAGGTTGGCTTGGCCAAACTCAAGAGTACTGAATTGGTAGAGATCACCGAGTCAAATGTGAAACGGATTCAAGAAGGGTTTAAAACGGTGCAGGATAGCCAGAAGAGCTATGTCAGGGTGGTGATAAAGAACCACAGAGTCCAAGGTTGGTGTTTAAACAGAAGTCATGTTCAGGGAGTAATATTCTCATCTACATGAGTAACGTTGTGAATTTCGGGGACGAAATTCCCGTTAAGGGGGGGTGAACTTGTGACACCGCACCCGAACGTACCTGAGAATTTTGGTTTAAAAAAATAAATAAATAAATAAATACAATTCATACAGTTGAATTTCCTATTATCAACTACGTGTAAAACGAGTAAAGCTTTATGTAATGAATGATTAATCGTATTATCGTTTAGGCCCATATCATAAGGATGGGTTTCCAAATACCTTATTGGGCCATCTTATTAGATATAAGACCCCAATACAATGTAAAGAAATGTTCATAACCCTCCTAGACCAAATAAGGAAGGTCGGGCAACCTAAATGTTATTTTGGGCCCAACCGGCTAAAAATAGTAAGTATTCAAGAATGGAGTTCTAGGACCACTCAAGGGTGACCCACACGGCTAGTAGCCCAGCAATATGAATATTGTTGTCATAAATAAGTGATTGGATGATTAGAGAAGAATACAAATGCCTACGGTCCCATCTTTGACATTATGGAACTAAATAATGGGAGTAGGGGTTTTCTTCTATAATATTCATCATGTAAACTATTGGGATGACCCTACACATATTAGAGATCAATAATATGATGTAGAGGGTTGAATTGTTCTAAATAAACTATAATGAGTACAAAAATACATCTTTTGACAAAAGATAAAACAATAGAACTCATTATTCCACTTTTGGAAGTATTAAGAGATATTTTGATCCCAAATCAATTGGGACCACTTGGGAAGGATCCCATACAACTTGAAGACCTGTAAACAAAGGAAAATGTTCAGTTATCACACATTTGGGCGGACAAACTTGTGGAAGAGAATCAAACACCACACATGAGACAAAACTATGGCCCATACATGTGTGGTTGTAATGTTTTGATGAATTTAACCCTCCATCCTATTATCTCGACCCTTACAGCTCATTTCACTCTTTAGGAAGGCCTGGTAGGTTGTCCTTTAGGTGGAGGAAGAGACACATAAGGTATGGGGGGCTGCACATAGAGAAAATGGCAAAAGGGAACCTATTTCGTACTATGTTCGCACAACTCGCGAGGGGTTTTTGTCTCTCCCACTATTTGAGCTACACTCATCCATTTTGAGTGGTTGAGGTGTCCATGGATAGCTCTTGAAGAGTACTTTCACCATAGCTTCGTTTCTGGAGAAGAAAGAGTCGTTATACAGACCGAGAGAGTGGCAAAGTAAACTGTTGTCCGCTAAGCCGCACAGTGGGAGCGTTGGTTTTGTTCACCTCATATCTTGAGAACCACTTATTCAAATCGGGTGTTTGAGGTGTCTTTGGAAAGGTATTGAATAGAGCTTTCATAAAAAGTGCTATTCTTGAGAATTGGAGGAGTTTACAGCCCAAAAAGGACGGATATACATCGAGGTGAGAATCTGAATTCCGAAACTGTGTATTGATTCTAGTGATTGTTACTCCTATTTCTTGAGCTCCTGTCAACCAAATCGAACGTGTAATATGTCAATGGAAACCTCTAAAAACGTAGTTTCTGTAAAGGTGCAGCTTGGTAAGAGAATATACGAGGAAGGTTTCCAAATCAACGAAGACAGACCCAAACGTGCAAAACAGTTTTTTTCTCCTTAAGGTAAGTTTGAACCTTAAAGCTTCCATTTCATGGTCTAAATCACATGAAAGAATAGGAAGGATATTATACACGACTATTAGTATGGAAAATGTTCTTGAGTATCTTATTTCATGGTCTTGAAGGTTAGATAGTAACCTTTGATGAACCTTGAAAAGCTATGGATTGTACTCACCCAAAAACACCTCTTTAAGGGGGCTGTTTTCATAACTTTTGATAGGAAACGAACCTACACTTGGAAGAGGCTGTATAGAATCCTATTTCAAGCAAGGAACCAATATTCAATCACCTTTGGCCAGTGGCTTGGTGGCTGGATTGATAGAGGGCAGTTTGGAGCTTAATCGAGGTGAGGACCGACATCTAGTTGCTTACAACTTGTAGGTTATGCATGAGATTACCTAAATGCTTAAATCATGTTTTTGTGAATAAATATGTTTGAACATGATATGAATGATAAGTAATGGAGTTGACCATGAATTGAAAACATATTGATGAATATGGAGTCATATGAGGTAGAAACATGCTAATATGTTAAATAGATTTTTCTAACTCTTGTATGAATGTTATGTGCATGTAAATGTATAGTTGCATGATGATGCTTAGCACATGGGAGGCTGCCACATATCTATTGATATGGAGGGGCTACCATTAAGAGTAAATGAGTTGTAGGAATAATCTTAATAGTATTGTGATGCTAGTTAAGGATTGTTCGAAATATCGATATAATCAAACTTAAAGGTTTGGGTTTGTTTGTGATGAACTTGAATAAGATTCAAGTGTCAATTGTGAATTCATGGAGTAGGAGATCTATGGTGTGATTTTATGAAGTAGGAGATCTATGGTGTGATTATATGAAGTAGGAGATCTATGGGGTGAATACATGAAGTAGGAGATCTATGATATAATTGTATGAAGTAGGAAATCTATGATGCGGGTGCATGATGATGTACTCGAGCCGAACTCTAGAGAGGAGAAGTTATATTAGGGTTGGACCCTATGTATTGTCGTGACTATTAGTCACGGGGTTTGGGAAATGTTTTGTAACAAACATGGGCCTTTGAGCCGACTACTTGACTTTATATAAAGTAAGTATATATTTTGAAAGGGGTAATTTGGGATTACGGCCTATACTATATTATCACCCTATTTGAGGGTCTTGTGTGTGAAATACTTGTTGTATATCTATTAGATGCTTGCCACACCAGTACTTTATAGCCGTATAGAGTATTGACCCCTTCTGGGGCGTCCCACCACCATTTCAGGTTGAAGCTCGAGCTCGTTACCTGTGCCCGTTGCTCGGGTGATCCTTTGGAGAGAAGACGTGGTTCGTGCTTTCCCCATTCTGTTTTGAACAATATTAAACATGCTCATGGATATTTTACTATAGAGCCTGTGTGCTCATGAATAGCCCTGTGTGGCCCGTTTTGTTTTAAACAATGTTTTTTGCTGCGTTATGAATTACTTATTATGTTTGTTTATGGATGTTATGTGTGTGAATGATATTCAAGACGCCTTGTACAATATGAATGTGTTGGACTGTGGTTGACTATTCGTATTGTACGGCGGGTTGTTGACGTGTCTGGGGAGGTCCGGGGCGTGACATACCTTGATCATTGAGGTTCTTCCTAATAGTGTAGAGTATATCATGAGATAGATAGGACCAACACTTCTCCCAAACCATACTGGGCATAGATAATGACTCTTGTAGTAAAAGATGAACAAATGTGATGCGAAGTTCATGCGCAGTTGCCCAATGGCTTTGTTCTATAAGTCCATCTATATAGTCTTTATCGTCATTTAACATATTACGGCCAGAGCAAGCTTCTCTGAACGTCGAGTGTATGACTCCATCAACTGTCCTGAGTTCTTCAAAACTCATTGCACCCTTCACGACACCAAGGAGCATCCTCAAATAATATTTCTCTCCTGCTCCTGGGCGCATGAAATATAGTCTTCCAATTGCGGTGCCTCTTTGTCGTGGTACCCACTCTCATGTATTGTTTTTCCAGGTGAACTTTGTAGGAAATTCAGCATAAGTTAAGTTCCTAGCTTGAGGATACACATTATTTGCATGCATCCAAGCTAGAAACTTAGTAACGTGGATAGTAGGACGTCCAAGCACGGAAGTGACAGATTGTTCAGGATTGTAGTAGACGTTATGTTGGTCCGGGAGATGAAAGCTTAGACGTTCAACTGCGACGTCCCTGTAATGATTGTGGAATCCAAATATTCTCCAAGCCGCTTCACATGCAGAGATATACCGACAATCGTAATACATTTTAATCTCATCAACTTTTTCTGGCGTACGGTTGTCGGATGCCTCAGAGAATGCAACTGTAATTCGATCATTGCCCTTATTGATGTACTTGAAGAGGTATTTCACTGCCCGAATTTGGTTACACCACTCGACATTATTGTGAGCCCCGTACTTGAGCAATAATGCACGGTTATGAGGGATGACAAATCTATTGTCAAGGGGGTTCTCATTCTTTAATACACTCCTTCCATTGTCTCTTCTTCTGTAAATAGGAAATCCACTTCAATCAATTGTAGTACGGTTCACAAATTTCTTCGGAAAGTGTTTTGTGCAACGATCATTATCCATACACGGTGAAGATGGGTTCATATGCCCACAAGGCCCATGCACCATCAATTCTTTGACAGCAACATAATAATCAGGATCACATTTCTCATCCAGAATCTCAGCTGAAATAATGCTATCGATGTGTGATGCCAATATAGCTGTGTCCCTTCGTGGCAACCATAAAACAATATAGGCGTGTGACAATCCACGTTTCTGATACTCCACCGTATATACAACTACATAGTATAAAATTGATGGATAATCCTTCTATCAGTTTACCATCAAAGGGAAATATAGTTATTGGGCCAAGAGAAAAGTATTCATAATAATGTAATTTAATAAAAATTCACTAACTAATAAAAAAAATCAACTCATACCAGCTTTAACTTCACCGAATAGCTTATTTTCTTTCACATCTTTTATGAGCATGTCAAGCTTTATCTTGAAAATTCTACAAATGATATCCGGGCGATCATCTGGAGTGAGTCCTCTACACTGAACGTAGCGAACAATCTCAGGCCATTGCGGGTTACATGTGAACGTGATGAAGAGTTGTGGGTATCCCGCCCACCTGCAAATAAACACAATATGAGAGCATCTTTAATGGGGATGTGAATTGCACCCCATAAAAAATGGACACATCATTGATGTGCACAGCCAATGGAGCTCACGTGAACACAAATCCAATTAAAATGAATTTTTATCTCCAACAACAATCGTGGATTCTCAAAAAATTTGCAGCAAATTATTTACTGTTTCTACGGAATATCCTAATTTTATTTCGCAGAAGACGGAAGTTGCAAAAATAAAATAAACAGCCTCCCTACGGTTCTCCAAAAGACGGAAGTTGTAAACATAAATCTATTTTTTTGCTGAGTCATCCTTTCTAGCAAGATTTACGGTGTGGACGGTTTCAAATTCCAACTCAGCTCCATGGAAAATGTAGACGGTTCCGTTGGAGAAAGGTTTTTATTTAACTTAATATCTATTCTACCTACGTGACAATTTATTTTTCAACAATTGATAGTCCCATTAAAGATGCTCTGAGAGAGTGTGTATCTTTTCCACTTCCAAGTCAGCACCCAAATAAAAATAGATAGTTTTGTTGGAAATGTTTTTTTTATCACAATAGTCATTTTATCTAGGTGGCAATGCATTTTTTATCAATTGAGGACCCAGTAAAGATGCTCTAACGCCACCCTACTTATTCTCTTCTTATTATTATTTGATTTTGTATTTTCTTTTTAATTCCAAATTACAAAAGAAAATACCAACTTTATTTAATAATAAATACATCTTAATTAAGTATAATAAATCTAATTTATCTTACTTAATCAATTCTATCAAATAGACCAATCCTTCAACGTGATGAATTAAATATATCAATCTAATTAATATTTAACTCATCTTATTTTTGGCATTATGAATCAAATACTATTTAATCACATTAATAATACTCAATTCATTCTAACAATTCAACCGGAATGTATAATCACTTGTTGTGCGACCCATAAAGCCTTATATATTAAACACTAATCAAATTAAGGTCTTAGCAGAATCACTAGACGATTTATCAGACAATCTTAATATATATATATATATATAAGGACGTTTGCAAGGACTATTCAAACTCCCTGTAATATAGAGCACATAGTGATATGGTCCTTTCATTCAACAAACATTCAACTTTGTCTGGAACTTGATATTGTGTCTATTCCAATAACTTAGTCTTTGTCTCTCAATCTTTTCACATGATCCATAATGATCATGTTTGGTATCTTTGCATTGGTCAATGACTTTATGATCCATTTAGATAAGAGAAGTAGAATGTTCTCTCTTAATCTATTACAAGGAATGCATTCTTTCTTGCCTCAACTAGTACTCCATATGCTTCATGATGTACCCAACGCATGTCGTGTCTACCCTAATTAGAGTGCAATCGTGAATCGTTGGTCATGGTCAAAGTACATCACTCCGCACATGTAGTACGTATTGACCTCAAGTTGGAGGACTATTACACTACTCTATACGCCGATAATCTCATAGACACATTAATAGAACTTATCAAATGGTTTCTCGGTGGGTATGTCATCATGAATATCTATGTGACCATCATGAGTTACAGGAACTCGTAGTTGTGAGATTAACTATACTTTCTAATAGTATGTTGCAGCCTACATACCAATCCTATCGCATATCATCAATATCCCTTTCTTGATGATCATTGATTGAAGCTATTTGTGGACCTTATGTTATATCATATAAGCTCTCACTTACTTATTGACATCATAAGTCTAAGGGAACACAATTATGAATAAGACATTGACAATCGAAATGTTTAATCATCAACGTGTAATACAATATATATCAAATATATAAACTGAATGTGATCAAGTACATAGATATCTAGATAGTGATTGTTGCTAGGCAACAACGGTCGGTGATTACACTATTTTCAGTGGGTAGGGGTGGGATTTGAAGATTCTTTTTGAGATATATGTGGCGGTTGTGGGGAGGGGTGTGCGGTCGGGTAGTGTTTGTGCAAGACCAGGGAAAGGGGCAGCATGGAGAGGAGGTTTGGGGTTGGAGTGTGATGGAGAATCTGGAGGGGGCTGCGCTAGAGTAGAGATGGGGGCTAGAGAAGGGAGCAAAGACTAGTGAGATAATGTGGGTGGCAGTCATTGGATGGGGCGGCACTGGAGACGACCGTAACAAATCATATCCAACGAAAATCCAGCCAATCTCTTCACCAAGTCATTGCCCCCGAAGAAGTTTATATAACTTGTACAGAAAATAGGCATGCGCCGCCTCCGAAATTTATGATAAATTCAAGGGAGTATTTGAATGCACTCCATTTGTTTTTCCTTCATCAGATTTTTATCTCTCTATGTTTTTCATGATAAGGTTTTTAACGAGACAGTACATCCACGTGCAACAACATTATAAGTTGTAATTTTTATCCCTTCACTTTCACACTAATTTTTCACAAATAAGTTTTTAAAATAACAAATACTTATACAAGGGTGAACAACTGTTTCTTTGGGGGTTAACCTAGGTTATTGCAGGTTCAATTTTTAGTTAACTTCGTTTGTTTTGTTTTTGCAACAAGAATCTAGGTTATGAGTTAGGATGTTTTTACTTAGACTGTAATCCGTCCCAGACCAGACCAGATCAGATCAAACCAGATCAGGCCAGACCAGATCAAACTTGGATAGTTATAAAAATACAAAGAGACAAGACATTACTAGACCAGACTAGACCAGCAAGTATCAGTCCAAGTAAAAACATCCATAACCTCACCTAACTCCCGAGAACCTGGAAAAACCTAAAATTGAAGAACTTCCGAAGCGGGGGTTTTGGAGGTTAAGTTCTCGTGTAACATAAAATGAGTTAGAGTACCTTCATCCAAACAAAATTTATTACATTAACCCAGGTTCACCTTATTTATTTCCAAACACTATTTACGCATGAACCTAGGTTCTCTCTATTTATTTCCAAAACTATTTTACGCATGAAATTTGGTTCACTTAGGTTAACTTGGTTTTTATTAAAACTTAGATTAGATTTACTTTATTGCAGGTTTAGTTAAGTTCACTTCATGGTTGACCGGAGGGTTGTAAAATCTAAGAAAGAACCTATGTGTATTGTTCATCTTTGTAATAGTGGAAGGTCTCGAGTTCGAAACCCGCTAGACACATAAAAATTCGAAACTCAATAGAGTGAGTTTCAGCCCATATTACTCCAGACCCCAGACCCTCTCCCCATACCCCCTTGAGTAAAAAAAACCAACAAATTATGTACTTCCTCAATTCATCCGAGCTTGACTAAGAATGGCAATGGGGGCAGGGCCCCGTGGGGAACCGCCCCATGGGGGAGAGTTGGGGCAGGTGGTGGGGCGGGGCGGGTATGGGGATGGGGGAATTATTTCCTCTCCGCTTAAATATGGGGCAAGTGATGGGTTATGCACCCCCCCCCCCCCCCGCACCATCCCCGCCCCGTCCCCCGTATATATACACTTATTAATAATTAATAATAATAATCACAACAATAATAATACTAATAATACTAGTAATACTAATACGAAGTAATTAAAATAGCATGGTGGCCCGATGGGTTTAGTGATTTCCTATCTAATGGGTTGTGCCTAATAGGTCTATTAAGGTTTATTCCTT